GATTAGAATAAGAGTTAGCCAAACGAGCGGCCATTTTGAGGTAATGGTCTTCGCGATGGTGCACTCATACATTTTCAATGACGTAGTAAGGTACATTAGGAGCGTCGTGTATAGGGTCATTCTCTGAACCACTTTCGTTCTTCGTATTTATTATTTTTAAACTATGTATGTATAATGACTAACCACTACATAAGGGTATAAATCTTATAGTCTCCAAGCCTTCTTAAATCATATTTAGATTCATACCTTATGAAAAGAGAAGTTAAGGCCTTAAAAACTAAATAAGTAAATAAATAAAGAAATAAATTAAATTAAATAAATGCACATCTTAAATGAACATCTGTTTACCAAAATGTTACTATTTTTCGTTTTTATTTTTGTAAATAATTTTTTTTTTGTTAGATTATTGTTACTAGTCATTACTGACTAACCTACAATTTTAATCTAAAAATCTTATAACTAATTACTTATCATCTAAGAAGTCCCCATTGGGCTGTCTTAATTGTTTCTATAGGAAAGCATCACAAGTTGGCGTGACGATTTATTACACTGTTTTACACTAGCACTAACATTAACGTTCACTGCACTAGCTCAAATGGCTTCTTCCTTTTGAGCCTTCTGTTGAGTGTAGATTTGTCCAACGCTTCTTCTTTGACGTGGGAGTGGAGTCGACCCTCATGTTTCGCAGCAAACCTCTTTATTTATTCTTCGATTGTTGGCATCTTTAGGTCTCTATGAAGATAATCGTTTCGGTAGAACCAAGGTGCATCAACAATGCATCTTAGGACTTTATTTTGGAAAACTTGTATCATGTTGATATTACTCTTGCTGGCACATCCCCATAGCTGTATGCCATAAATCCAGATTGGTTTTAGGATTTGTTTATAAATCAGCAGTTTGTTGTGCCCTGACAATTTGGATTTTCTTCCTAGGAGCCAATACATTTTTTTGAACTTAAGTTCGTTCTTTACGCTTTTTTTTATGTTATCTTATTGTCCCTTTAATAATGCCATATTTCGTTTTCAGTTCAATAAAAACCTACCTATCTTTTAAAACATTATTTTGTATTTGCATTAGAAGAAGAAAATGATTTGATTAGAGCGACATCAACATTGTATAGATTTATGCAGTGGTCGCCTATCTATACATACATTATCTAAGATAAGATTTGGTTTTTAGGATTGGATGGATCAGGTCCAATAAACATAAAAACAGTTTTACTTTAAAATTAATTATTATTCAAATTAAACGTTTAAAATATAAAGATTAAATAATAATAAATATTCATAAATTGATTCGGATAGTTACTTTTTATCTTCATAAATATTATGAAGACAAAATTTGGATGGTTCAGTAGTCACTGCCAATACCAAGGATTTGACATTCGGAGAGGTTCGAAAATTCCGAAAGAGTTAAACGTCTTAGTGGTTCTGAAAGCGAATAAAGAAGCACATGTGAGGTTAAAAAGTTTACCAGTACTTTTACCGGTGTCTTACTGTGACTGTGAGTGTTACTCCTCAGTGTAGAGGTCCTAGTGATGGGTAAATTTCCGGGAACCAAGTGTTCGGGAAATTCCCGGGAAATTTTTGTGAATTTAAGCTTATTTTCTATTCCATCTATTCATTGCGCAAGATAATTATTAAATTAAAATATCCATTTTTTTTTTAAACAACACATTTTCTTTGGCAACAAATTAAAAAATATATCTTCTTACTAAAACAACACAAATAAAAAATTAAATCTAAATGTCCTTTTTTATAAAAAAAAAAGTTTTCTTTGATAACAAATTTAAAAAAGATATCCTTTAACTAAAAAAAAAAAATAAAATATCTGCCTAGTAGAATATAAAACTGTCGAGTATTATGAAAGGAAGGGGTAAGTGGATGAAGAGGTTATGTAATATTTAATCCTATTTTTACGTTGATTAAGAATTAATTAAGTTCATATGTGTCTTATCTTGGTCTGGTCTTGTACGTCTAATTAGTTGATAAACACTCTTACTAACTCAAAAAAATGCCAATGAATCTAATTAAAAAGTTAATTGCTCAAAAACTATTTTTTATAATATAACCCCTTCATCGACTTACCCCTTCAAAGTATGTAAAAACAAAACTAAACTTCAGTTTCTGAGCTATTAACCTCATCGGTCACGTCTTCCTCATCAGAATCAAAGTCCTGATAAGGAATTTCTTCGTCCTCCGAAGAAGTTTCTGTCTCCGTCTCTGGCTCAAAATTTAGTGGTGAATTTGAAAGGCCTGAAGGTCCAGGTATTAGTACAGGGTAATTAGCCAATTATTAGTGAAGATTTCTTAAAACATAATATAAAGCTAAAAATTTGTATAAGAGTTTATTTTAGTATAGCAATTCTTAATTTCTGGTGTTGCAGAGTGTGCCGTGTGGTGGGGACGCGGGAGGGATGGAAACAAGAGACGGCAGACGGCTCGCGGCGCTTCTTATCAGTCAGTTTCTGAACGTGCAGTCTAGATAAGTCGCGTCTATTTTTCGAATAAAGCAGATTTTTTTTTAATTTTTTTTAGAAATAACTTTCTGTTTTTGATTTCCTAATATGGAAACTTCTGAAGTTTGTGTTTTGTGTGAGAAAACTTTAATTGGTGGACAAATAGTTAAAGGGCAAAAAGGAATTGAAAATATTAAAAGGATGAGTGTTCTTTGAAATGATAATGTGCATATATTGCTTGAAAACAAAGACTCTGTGGAAGTACATACGAAATGTAGATATATGTATATACGGCGTATAAAAGAGAAAGAGTAGGACTCTAACGAAAATCAAAACAAGTTTGTTGGAAAATCTTTTAATAAAGCAACGTTCTTGCGCAAAGATAAGGTGAAAAACATGGCAGCTGTTATGAAAACAATAAACGTCGGCAATGAAGAAATTAATATCAATTCCAATCAACTCTTCCATCGAATACTTTGTACCGTAAAGTCTGACGAAGAACTGCAGTCATGTTTAAAGTATGAATTAGCTCCACGGCCAACATCTCTGTTTGATTCTATTTCACTGAGAAAAGGAAAAAGTCATCTTTAATTTGTATCATAGAGGAATGTTGTCCAACAGCTGTGGAATTGCCTTTAGAACCTTGTTTTGTGATAGACGGTGGTTACCTTTTGCATAGAGTAGTTTGGCCAAAACCTGCTTCATTTTCCCAAATATGTGACAGTTATATCGACTATATTAAAAGACATTATGGCCCTGAAAGTACTATTGTTTTTGATGGCTACAATGAAAGTGAGTACGGTACGAAGAATGCAGAACATATTAGAAGAACAAATAAAGCTAAGAAATCCGTGGATATTGTTGTAAGTGATTCAATTTTTCCTTCTTGTACGCAGTCAGAATTTCTGAAAAATACCTCCAACAAAACTAACTTTATTTCATTCTTGGCCGTAAAACTTACACCTGCTAAATTTAAAGTTCAAATTTCTCCTGGAGATGCCGATACCCACATCGTGAATACAGCTGTCACATTTTGTACTGAAAATAAGAAAGGAGTTATAGTCGGCGAAGACACTGATCTCCTGGTCATAATGATAACTGTAGTAAGAAGTAATAACGAATGTTTTATGTTAATTCCAGCAACAAAGTTTAGGCTACAAAAAGTATTTAATAGCAACCTACTCCAAGAAGCCCTTGGGGATGTAAAAAATCACATTGCTTTTCTCCATGCAGTTACAGGTTGCGATACAACTACTTCCCTTTTTAATAAAGGCAAAAAACAAGCTTTTAAACTTTTGCAATCGAACCAGTCATTAAGGCAAAAGGTTTCGGCATTCAATGATATAAATACAACTAAAGAAGATATTGCTCACGCCGGAGAGTATTTCTTAAAATTATTATATAACGGTCGCGTATCGTTAGATGACTTAAGCAAAACAACTGTTATAAAAAGGTTATAGCTAAACAACCAGTTTATGGAAAGTTTGATCTGTCAGTACTACCACCAACATCTGGAGCAGCAAAACAACACAGCTACAGAGTTTTTTTATCAAGTCCAGTCTTGGCGTGGGGTCCAACTTCCTGCTACTGAGTGGGGATGGATGAAAAAAGAGGAACAACTGTTGCCGGTTCCTACACTAGAACCTCTGGCCCCCGAAACTATATTGAAGTTGGTTTTTTGTAACTGTGCCCAAAGATTTGACTGTCGCCATGTACCCCAATGTGTGGAAAATGCAATGGTGAAGCATGCAGCAACAGACTTTCCATGGTAGTTGACGAGGAAGAACAGTCGGAGGTACAAGAATGCTCCTTAGAAGAGAATTATATTACTGATCCTAACGAACCTGGGCCATCCATATTATCCAACTAAACTGTTCAGCAGATCAACGAAGTTTTCTTTTGTTTTAGGTTAATTTGGTTCGATTTAAACCAAAAGCATATGGTGGCGCTTGAAATAATTGGAAAATAGTTCCTTCCTATCATTTTTGCCACATTTTTAATAATTCATTTCATTGTAATTTAATTTTAAAATAAAAAATGTTTGTGGAACAATTTTTTTTATAACTTCCAATATGGCGGTCAATGGCAGCTGTCCACCATCACACACAAGCTGCAAGGCTATAACATTTTATTAAGTTACCCCTAATGTACCTTAAAACAAATTTTTAGCTTTATATTTTGTTTTTAGTTTGAATAAGCTAATTACCTTGTACTATATCTCTGCTTCCGGCACTATCATGTTGGAATGCTGAACACTTTCAGTTACTTGAGTCAAACTGGAAATAGACGGACACTTGACAAAACGAGGTACATCCTGTACAGCTGTCTTTGTTACGCGTTCGCCAGTAATGGGCGATGTACGTTAATTTGTTAGCTTGTTCCATTTCTTTGTGTGAACTGCAGAAAATGTAGAAAAAGTTCGCTCAGTTGAAGCTGAAATAGCAGGAACAGAAAGAATTTTTACTGCCACTTTTGATAGCTGATTGTTCTGTACAATAATTCCCTTCCACCAAACGACAGGTGTTACATTCTGTGAAGCAGTCTAAATAAAATTTTTCGCCCACATACCTTCGTGCGCTCTATAATTGGAAACTTCAATAAGCAATTGTTCATGATCAATTATTTGAGAAATGGAATCAACTGAGAAATATGAACTTCTTGCGAAGCTAGCAGTCCAAATAAAATCTTTCGCCCACATACCTTCGTGCGCTCTATAATTGAAAATTTCAACAAGCAATTGTTCATGATCAATTATTTGAGAAATGGCATCAACTGAGAAATGTGAACTTCTTGCGAAGCTAACTAAGTGTTTAATGGCATCGAGTTGTTCTTCAGCAATTAAATAGCAACCTTGCGCCTTTGGATCTAATAGACAAGATGCTTTATGGATAGATGTAAACGCATAAGCTTTTCTTTCCAAATATTTATCCATAAAATTTGTTTCCTCATTTTTCTGTAATACTGAGAGCAGTAAGTTTTTCGCTAAGCTTTCTTGAATTTCACTGAATAGAAAAATTTCCGTTTTTTCCGGGAATTAGGGTTTGGGGAAATTCCCGGGAATTTTCCCGTTCTCAGTGGAAATTCCCCGGGGAAATTTTCCAGCTACCCATCACTAAGAGGTCCTAGTAGAAGTTCCCTCGTGTTTACCTAGGAGTACTAAGACGCCCATTTTGAGTTCCTTTCTATCCATGGCGGTATCAGCCGAGAAGGCAATGTTGCTGGGAATGATGTGGACCATGACCATGTTAGTTTCATGTCTCGGAAGTCCTGGCTTCTTAGATTATTCTGGCCAGCTAATACTTTTGGTTTTTCTGTTGGAAGCAGAAGCATCCAGTCTCCTAGTAAAACGTCTCATGAACAATACGGTGCTGAGACGACTCGATATGAAAACCATATCCCTTGGTGCAGCTCCTCCTAGTGTGTCTGAAAGCGTTCATACATTCTAAAATGCTTCTTCATCCCTTTTCATTGAATGGGTGGCAGGACGAAAACTGGAAGATGTCCAGTTCCCTCAAGCGTAGGTTATCTTGGGTGAGGTGGTTTAAGTATTATCTTCAATATTGGTATTAGACTGAATAGTGGTTAATTTTGATGATATTTTATTTTGCAGATGTAAGTTAAATGTGTTTTAAATGGTGTTTTTCATTATTCAATTATTCTTTAAAGTTAAATGAGTTTTATGTTCGCTGGCGATATATCTATATCTAAGGTTCGATTGATATATCGTCAAGTAACCGTTTGGAAAGGATTTTGAGGAACTAATTAAACTGGTAATTTTAGACTCATGAATGACCCCATAGATTGGCATTTCCGGCAAGACCGGTTGTTCGTTCCTTATTCGTAGAGGTTAAATTAAATTTAGCGTTAACTGCATTCTACATATTTGCTCGAGGACGAATATATTTCGTAATAATTCTAATGTTCGCCAGTGGGTACCAAAGGAATGTTGAAAATTGATGGCAATTTGGGATGTTTTACCCTAATAGAAAGCAAACGAGAGATAATAATATATCAGGCTAGAATATTTCAAAGATTTATCAAACAAGAAATAATTTATTAAACGATTTTAATGGAACGAACTTCTGAACATATCATCCTCATCATCAACTAAATATTGTAATAAGTGGAAATCTAAAGAATTTACATAAATTTTAAAAATATCAGTTAATGAAAAAGAAATGGTGCACACACTAAATATGATATGAAGAGTGGAATGAGTACATCATTGTGTTTTACTTCTAAATGTTTTATCTAAAATTTTTGTGGTGCTATTTACTAGAGGTAAGTTTCTTAATATTATTATTATATAGCCTTGTGTGGTCGGCGCTATGCAGTTGGCTTATTGGGTTTTGCCCCTGCATTAGCCTGTGAATAGCTGACCTGGTTTCTCCTTGTATAAGGATATGCAGTGGCGTGAGATTTAAGACACCCTGTATAAAGATGCAGTAATAAACAAAAGACCGAAATATATTGAAAAAAAATAGAAAATAAATTATATTTTTACATACATTTTTATACTACTTTTCAATTTTGTGACAAGGTTTAATAGACTTTGTCACAATATTTTTGATGCCAAAAATATACTTGTTTTATTTTAGTTATTATAGAAATAAAATTGTATAATTTGGTTTTTATGAAATAAACTGTAAATTATAAATGCGATTTTAGTTTGTCTCAATATAATTTATAGTTGTTAGGACTCGTATACCTACCCACAACAGTAAAAGTTGCATTGAATTTTACCGTTTACTTTGCAATAAAAATTATTTTCATTTCATCTTTATTATTGTCTTATAAAATTTTTATAAAATTGCCACTAAATGTTTTTTTACATACATTTTAAACGACTTAAAAAAGAAGGAAGTTCTCAATTCGTCAGAACATTTTTTTTTATGTATGTTTAGCAATAATTCTTCACCACGTTGTCTGCACGATTTTGAAGTCGGTTTTTAATTCCCTCGATAAAAGGGAAGTATTGTAATCGTGAAAAAGTCACCCTCCGAGATTATTTCGGATTTTCACGTTTCGGGGTCCCTAGATTACGAAAAACGTGTTTCCCCATTCCGTCGGTCTGTCTGTCTGTTGGCGCGACAGCTCAAAAACACCTATATAGAAAAACTTAAAATTTTGTTTGCAAATAAGGTCCTTTTCTGGCTGAAAATCAGGCTGAGCAGTTTCTAAAATGAAAATTATTTATAAAAAATTCAAAATAGCGCTGAAAGGAATCGTATTTAATCAAAAGAAGGTCCCCCTTGAAAGAAATAATAAAAATCGTCCTTTTGGTTTATGAAACTGGACCATTTTAAAAGCAGCCAATCATTATTGTTCAATAACGGTAAACGTGACGAAGAGTACCGAGTGAACGCGAAGTGAGAATTCGGGTGGGATCAAAAGTAAGATCGATGGAAAGAGAAATGTGAAAAAGGGTTTTTGGTTCGGTGGTTTTAATTTTAAATTATTAAAATTTAGGTGCTTAGGAGTTCCCTATTTTTACAATTTCTATATCGAGGGAAGTTCTGGGTAAAATACCAATCTGGTACATTCTATGAAAATATGGTAATCTAGTACACTCAAAGCAAAATCTAGTACTTTTTCTTTTTTCAGCGTATGCTTCCGTTTGACGTGTAAAATGTATTAGGCATCCCAACGATCTGTCAAAATGCTAACAAGTAGAGACTGGCAGTTTAGATATGTCAACCCTGTGGCCTGCTGTCATTGATGATACATAGTTCTATAGATTGCTCAAAGCGGGTCGTTTTGTGAGCAGCCATATTGCCAAGCAAGTTTTCATTACTTTGGCAAAAATTTGTTTTAAAATCAATTTCCATCTTTTGAATATAGTATAAAAATAATTACCTACATTTTTTCTTCGAGGCATAAGCTTTTGTTTATTTTAAAAAACATGAGTGATCATCAATCTATATAACTATCTATATCATTGACCCTGTCAAATTACCAGGTTCATATCATGACCACATCATAACCTGTCAAAACCCACTGGCAGTCATTTTGTTTGGAATGTTTAATTGTTGGGGTTTTCCTTGTTTGTTGTGTTCGTATTCTCTTTTTTTGCTCTTTAATGACCACACTTCACTTATCCTAGTACATTTTTATGGAATCTGGTACTTTTTTAGACAAATCTGGTACATAACAAAAATATAATCTGGCAACACTGTTTACAACATAGTATTATCGTCCCCATTCTTTTTCTTCATATTAAAACTCCAATCCATTAATATGCTTGCTACATTTTCTGTTCCGTTTTCAAATCAAAATTTCGTTGCTCACAAAAAGCATTAAATTGGTTTCAAATGGATGATTTAGGTATTTTCAGGAGTAGAATTTTCAATATCGCTAATTATTTCTGCTTTGCAGATATTTCCAAACTTCGACATCCAACTTGCTTCCTTTTTAAATTTAAACTCTACATTTGACATTTAAAAGTTTCAATCTGACGCAACTCAAATGAATAAATAATAACAGATTGCAAATCATTACCATGGTAACGTAATTTATTCGCTTTTTTATCAACTTTCTTTTCTGTGTTTTTTTTTATATTTAGGAGGCAGTAAACTACGATTTGCGTGTTGGAAAATAATGTTTTTACATATATTATGATTGGAATTGTCAAAAACAAATATTTTCTAAATAAAATTTCAGCACGATCGGCAAATAAAAAAGGTTTCCAAAGTAGGTCATGGAAAAAAATCACTTATGTTGTACAATTCTTCTTTTCTCATATATCTTTCAATGTCAGTCATGGCCCACTTTAAAAACGTATTATAAGGACCACTATTTATATATTAAATAAGACTTACCACTAATCATGCGGAAGCAATAAATCTCAAATACGAACCTGCAAAAGAAAGCATGAATAAACATTTTTTCTCAACATATAAAAAGGTATACAAAGTTAAAACCTATCCGTTCAAGCATAAGCAATAAACAAGATCTTATTGCGGTCAGGGCCCCAGAGGTAGCCCTTTCGTACTTTGTGAAAAGGTTAGAGTTGCGCTCCTTTTAAAATTGGAACAGTCGTCCAGATAATAACGCGGGACCAAAAGCCTTTATTTTTTTCCTTTGTTCTTTGTAAAATCAATTTTTATCATTTTCGTAAATGTAGGTATTTAACAATATTAAAAATATATCTATAATGGCTTAAAAATTAGAATTTTATTAAAAAAATTAGGTCGGTGGGCCAAAAAACTGGACCACATTTTTGTTAATGCTTTAAAATAATTTTCACACCAAATTTGCGGGAATTATTCATAAAAATATAGGTACTTATAAAATGAATTATAATCTATCGAGATTCAATTAGAATAATATACAGGGTAGGTTAAAATAATAAGAAGTTATTAAAAGTGACGCGCAAATAAATTGGATATGCACCTGAAAGCATTTTATATTCTATTAATATTTATGAGCTAGGCGGAGGTAAATACAGTTACTCTCACTTGAGTCCCGGGACATAACGGTGTACAGGGTAACGAGATTGCAGATAGTCTCGCAAGGAGAGGGGCTCAAATACCTAAGTATACTATGTCTGTGGCGCACTATGAAGAGTGAGCCCACACAAGCGAGAGGATTTTGCGAATGCATGTAGCTAAAAAGATCCGAGAAACTTCATAAAAACACAATAATTTGCGCGTGGCTCACAAACAAGGGGTGACGTCACAAAATAGGGCAGGGAATACGAACTTTTCCAAACCAGTGTTGCCAGTCTAGTGCATTTTAAAATTGTACTAGATGTAGTACATGCTCGAAAAATGTGGTACTCTAGGACACTCAAAGCAAAATCTAGTAATTTTTCTTCCTCGGCGTGCAGCAGTATTCACGTGTAAATATTGTGTTCCTTGTTTGTATTCGTTATCTATAAAGATTCCCTCTTTTCGCTCTTTAATGAATTAGACGTCACTGTAAACAGAATTCCGAAAATCTGGTACATATAAG